CCTGTGATTTCTGATGAGGATAATGATTTGTTAGTCAGTGGTGTTTCTGTGGAAGAGATTGAGAGGGCTGTATTTGATCTTGGCGCCACAAAAGCACTTGGTCCAGATGGCTTCATTGCTTTGTTTTATCAATCGTCTTGGGAGGAAGTAAAGGAAGAAGTGTGTGACATGGTGCATCAATTTTTTGAAGGGCATTCAAGTTTGAGGAAACTCAATTTAACAATTATAGTCTTGATTCCTAAAAAGGAAAGACTAGAGATTGTTAACCATTTTCGTCTAATTGGTCTGTGTAATGCTTCATACAAGATTATAGCAAAAATTTTGACTGCTAGAATGAGAAGGCTACTGAATCATTGTATTTCTCAACAACAGAGAGCATTCATTGCTGGTAGACAAATTCAGGATAATGTTGTAATTGTGCATGAGGCATTTCATTATTTGAAAAGGAGAAAAGAAGGGGTCAAAGCTGAGTTAGCCTTGAAGATTGATCTAAGTAAAGCCTATGATCGAGTGAACTAGAAATTTCTGATGGAGATGATGTCAAAAATGGGCTTTCGTAGACAGTAGATAGATTGGATTATGGAGTGTGTGACTTCAATTGTTTTTGATATGCTAATATCTAATAGGAAGGTGGCAAGGATTGTTCCTGGAAGGGGAGTGAGACAGGGAGATCCTTTGTCTCCATACCTATTCATTATTGCAGTAGATGTTTTATCCTTGATGCTGCAATATCATGTGAATAAAAAGGAGCTTATGGGGATTCGGTTGTCTAAGGGAGGTCCAATTCTTTCCCATTATTTTTTTACTGATGATGCGCTTTTCTTTGTAAAGGCAAATAGAAATAATTGCTTAATTCTGATAAGAATTTTAGAACTTTTCTGTGATACTTCTGCACAGGAGATGAATTTGGATAAATCCTGTGTGTTTTTTTTTAGGCTAACACTTCTTCAGATTTGAGAACAGAAATTGAGGAGGTACTTGGTGTAAAAGCAACAGAGGATCCAGGCACTTATCTGGGTTTTCCAGTGCTGTGGGGAAGATCTAAGTCAGCCGCTCTTACTTTTGTGAAGCAAAAAATACTTTTCAAGCTTCAAGGATGGAAACAAAGATTGCTTACCTTTGCGGGGAAGGAGGTATTAATTAAAGCTGTTGCTAATTCCATTCCTGTTTACTCGATAGCTTGTTTTGCATATCCTAATAAAGTCTATAAGGAAATTGATAGCATGATTTCTAATTTTTGGTGGGGCTATAATGATCATGATGGGAGGAAGATTCATTGGAAGAATTGGAGTGATTTGTCTGGGGCTAAGAATGATGGGGGAATGGGTTTTAAAAGCTTCCAAGCCTTTAATAAGGCTTTGTTAGCTAAATCTGCCTGGCGTATAATTCAAAATCTTAATGATTTTCGGTGTAAGATATCAAAAGGAATTTATTTCCCTAAGGCAGATTTTTTACAGGCCAAAAAAGGTGGAAAGGCTTCATGGGGTTGGTCTAACATTATTGAGGGGCGTGATTTTCTCCTTAAAGGTTTGCAATGGAGAGTAGGAAGAGGAGATCAAATCAGTGTATGGAATGATTATTGGGTGTTAGGATTGGAAGGGCAGTTGAAGCCTAGAGTTGATCTTAATAATGACGTGAAAAAGTTAAAAGTTTCAGATTTAATTACTAATGGGATTTGGAAGCTTGACTGTATTAGAAACTTTATTGATAAGGATTGCTGTGATTTGATTGGGAATATGCTTATTCTGAGAGTAGATTTGGAGGATAGGTTAGTCTGGAAGTTTACGAAGGATGGGAATTATTTGGTGAAATCTGGTTATCATGTAGCTTATAAAGCAAAAAAAGGTTAAGGTAAAGGATAAGCCTTGCAGCTCTTATTAAGTGCCGAGAACATTATGGAAGACCTTGTGGAGTTTGAATGTGCCACCAAAAATCAAGCATTTTATGTGGAGGCTTTTGAAGGGGGCATTAGTAACACGGTATACTTTATTTCATAAGAGGTGTGTTAAAGATACATCTTGTTCTATTTGTGGATTGGTGGATGAGACTATTGAACATTTGTTTTTGGGTTGTGGCTGGGTAAAAAGATGCTGGTTTGGTTGTTCTTTATCTTTGATTATTGAAGATAAAAGAATTAGTAATGTTGGAAAGTGGTGTGAAGAGTTGTTACTTAATACAACTAATTTTTCTAATTATTCTAGATCTCTTGTTGCTGTGATGTATTAGGAGATCTGGAAAATGAGATGTGATTTTGTTTTTAAGGATGATATGGTTAATCCTGAAAAGCTTATTTTTATGGCACAGAGGTTTGTTGATGAGTATTGGAGTGCTAAGTGTTTGAAGGCTGGGATTAACAGGAGGATGAACGAGAGGTCTGGTCGAAAATCTAAGTGGATGGTGCCTTTGGAGGGCTGGGTAAAAATGAATGTTGATGGCTCATACAGGAGGAATGGGGATGCCAGTGTTGGGGTGATTTGTCGAGATTCATCTGGTTGCTTTCTGGGCTGTACGGGGATTGCTGTTGAGGCTTCTTCTGCATTCATGGTTGAATGTTTTGTTGTGAAAGAAGCCTTGCTGCTGTGTGAGAAATTCAGAGGCTACGTGTGCATTGAAATGGATTGTAAAGTTTTATTTGATGTGCTAACCTCTGGCTCTTGTGCAGGTTGTGATTGGATCTATAAAGGTTTATTGTCTGAATTACTTGCTTTTGCTAGATTTAAGCCTTGTGTTTCTTTCTCCCTAGGTGCTAGACTTGGGAATAGAGCTACTGATTTAATAGCAGCCTTGTGTGCAAAGTTGTGGCCCTCTAGGTGGCTGTGTTCAGCTCCAACTTCTCTTTCTGAAATTTTGGTGGACGATCTAGCTGGTAAAGGCAAGAGTTCGGTGATGTTTAATGAAGATGAAGAAATGTCTCAGATTAGGACTGGAATTGGTTAATTTATTGTTTTTTTCTGTTTTGTACTTTGTTTTCTGTTTTTTAGTTGATACTTTAGCATTCTTTGTTTTGCTTTAGGATTGTATACGGGTTTTTACTTTCTTGTTCTTGTTTGATTCTAGTGTGTGTAATTCTCCTTTTCAATATTAATGAAATCGTATCTTTTTAGTCAAAAAAAAAAAAAAACTCGCTACTGTAAAGACCGAGTCAGGGAATATGTGATCAAGTTGGTTTATTAGAAGTCGATTTTCATTGTCAAGAATCTCCTCCATTCCATTTTCTTTTGGTTTTTTGGCCTGAATGCCTCGTACCGTTTTCGCTTTTCTGACACCAAGACACAGGAAATGTGAGGGAGAGAGAGAAAGAAAATGAAGGATGATATGTGAGGGGAGAGAAAATGTAGCGAGCAACATTCTGACATCCTTTTTTTTTTTTTTAATTGTATTGAACTTGGCAGGATATATCTGTCATTTTATATAAAATGCCATGTGTTTGAGTTCATTATTATAGTTATTTAAAAAAATAAAAATATTTATATCTTCATATTTTTATTATTTTTAATCAATAAAATATTTTAAAATAATATTTAAAATATATTTTAATATTAATTTTTATATTTTAAGACCCACATTTTTTTAAAAAAGTTTTGAGTCCTATATATTGTTTAAGCATCTAAAAAATATATTATTTAATTTTATAAAATAAAATAATTAATTTTAAAATAAAAAATTAAATTAAAAATAATTTTAAAAATAAATTTCAGGCATGAATGAATTTTCTGTCTTACTACTAGATAAATATAATACATAGAATAATATCCTTATATAATTATTTGGTTATTATTCATGCCAGATTTAATTAAAAATTAATAATAAATTTTACCTCTTATATGTAGGGGTTAAACATTATAAAAATTAAAGGAAAAATAATTAAAAAAGTATTTTACTAATAATTAAATATATTTTTTATATAATATAATAATAACAACTATTTTTCTTATATTTTTAAAAATGAGAAGTATAATTTATCTAAAAGTTATTGAAAGCTCTGAATCGATTAGGGTAATGATTTTAAATTAATGATCTAATTGTGATTGAATTAAGGTCAACTTGATCATAATTAAAATATATAAAATATTTATAATAACCATGATAAGAACAATATTTAAACAACTAAAATATTGATTTACAAGTAAAAAAACATTCATAAATAAATTACAAATAATATAATAAAATAATAAGAGAGTTACTTAAAGGTGTTTGGTTGGAGGGGAGGGGAGGGGAGGAATTTTGCCCCTCTTCCCTTCAAATTGGGGGGATTGGGAGTGGAGGGGTAAAATACTAAAATTTGTCACACTTTAACCAATATGCCCTCCATGATAAATTTAAAAGATGTGTATCTCAACACTAATAAAATGAGAGTAAATTTATTTATATATAATTATTTTTCTTCCCCTCCTTCCTTGAACCAAACAAGATAACATCAAATTCTTTCCCTTTATTTCATTAAAATCCCTATCCTCAAACCAAATACACCCTTAAATACAAAGTTAATATGTTTTATTTTTTTCTTTTATTTTTTTAAAGTCAAAATAATGTTTGATGTTTGATAAAGTTATTTAAAAATTAAAATTGGTTCAAAAAATAGAGAAATTTTTTTTAAAAAGTTTTGGGTATTTAGACAGGTTGAATAAATCAAAATCGAAAGTGTTAAGGTCAAGCTTAGCTGCATGTATTTTTTAATAAAATAAGATACTTCAAATTTAATTAAAATAAATTCTTGCCTATTAAAATTACTAGCTCTAAAATAATTGAATTTTAATCTTGCATCGATCACTCCCACTCCACTAGGGGTGAGCAATGTAGCCCTAAATTTGCAAATCTATCTCAACCTGTTGCCAAGTGAGTCAACCCATATGCAGGAAAAAGAAAAAAAAAATGAATACAGGTAAATTCCTATCCCATGTTATAAAAATGAGTGGGTAACATGAAAGGCCTTGAGTGGCTTTTACCCACCCAAATATTGTTATCTATCTATTTATGTTTACATGAGTCCTCACCTCACCTCGGCCGGGTACTCGTTCAGTTCCCAAACCCGTAGCCCTAAGTTGGTCTTCATTCAATTTCTCACTTTATCTTCTTCCCTGTTCGAGCTTGAGAGCGAGACGCGAGCCGTCGGCGCCCACCGTCTGTTCGCCATAGCGTCGCCCATCCTCCATTGGCCTTCGGTCGTCGCCCATCCAGAGACTTCGCCTTAGGCCTCGCAGCTCGCAGAGACGGACGCAGAGTCGTCCATCGTCCATCGCCCTCGTCCAGCTTCCCTCCACCTCTACCGTCGGCCTCCGCCTGGCAGCTCGCAGACGTAAGTGTCTACCAAACCCTTCCACACCTTTCCTTTTTTCTTTTTTACTCTTCTCTCTACCAAAGCTTTTAGGATAGCCGATTAGCCGCATCTGAGCATCTGTATGTATATATAATTTCATCCTTTCGAAATAAGCATCAATGTGTTTCTTGATTCATAAAGCTTATTTTGAAATTGCTTTCCTTATAAATTGTTAAACTTCATCTTATTACAATTACAATTACAATTGGAGATCAATATTGTGCCGGGGAATTATCATGATGTTTAGTGGGCGAAAATTAGTTCTAAGTTATATTGTAAGTTGTAACTTATTTAGGACATACTATTTGTTTTACATGGATCCATGGCTATTTCAATTATTACATCTACTGCTGCAGCTAGATGACTTTGACATTTGGCAAAATACTTTACTTGAACTATGTTTTAAAATGTTCATATAGGTATAAAAACTATCGGTTATGTGTTCATATAGGTGCATAACAAATTATGTAGAAATCTTCCATTTTAGACAATGCTTGGCTTGTGAAAGCCGGCATTATATAATTCATATTCGTATTTTGAACTATATAACTACGTTTGCCACACGTTGATGTTTCAATCTGCAATAGTGCACGCCATAGAACCAAGAACCTGCTTAATAGTGCTCTGCCTTCCATTTATAATTATGGTTGACTCCTGTCTGTACTGGTTTTACTTGGGTTGCTGGGACTTCTTACTTTAATTATTCTGAAGAAGGTTGCAGTAAGTTATGGCTGCTGTGAAAGGCAGATTTATTATGATTTTTCAACCTGTGTAACGTCATTTATGGCTGCTATGAAGTTATGGTGCTTTTTTCGTTAAAAAAAAGTTATGGTGCTTTTTGAATTTTTTGATTTGTGGTAGCCTTATGGAGTTTCCGGTGGAGTTATTGTTAAATTAGTAATCCTTATATTATTCACAGGTTTAAACTTTTAGAATGATGCCACTTATGTTAAATTAGAATGGGATGAAAAATATATGTTTCTATTGTTTTTTTTTTTTAAAAGCAAGTAGGTGTTGCAACTTAAATGGGTGGCCCATACTTGCCTAGACCCATTTCTACTCGTTTTAAAATGGGTGCAAACAGATGTATGTGGGTATAGACTGGAGGCCAGCTGTTTAACAAAAAATGGGTAAGTAATGGGTAAGGCATGGGTGGCCCGTACCCTCCCGTGAACAGCCCTAACTCCCACCATCCTTATTCCCAGTGAGTTTCCACCTTGTCATTCCCTCCTCCCTTCCAACAGCCACTCCACTGCAGCTGGTAGCAGCATCTTCAAGCTTTCCACACTTGGCCAAGCTCGCTGTAAGATGCCATCCACCATTGTCAGTCCTCCGTGGTTGTTCTTCGGCAAGTATTGGAGAAGGTCATAACCCTAGGGCTTTGTCTCCTCCTTAAATCCAGTGAGATTGATTTGTTCAATCTGCCTTTGAATATAAATTTGAATTTGAGCCTATTTAGATTTTAGGTGGGTATAATTGATTAAGAAAAAATTGATAAATATGATTGATTTTGATTATAATTGATTATGTTATAACATGATCATGTTTGGATACTTTTTTTTTTTTTTGAAATTTTGATAGAATTGAAGATGGTTGGATGATTTAGTCAGAATCAATTTTAAATATATATATATATATATGTAAATTACCATAAAGGACATTGTGTTTAAAAGTTAAAATATTGATAAAATTGTATGTTTAATATTAGTAAATTTGTTCAACTTTATTTAACAAGTAACATATATTATTAACTTAACATATATTATTTAACTTATATATACTTGATTAGTGATAAAAATTTAAATTATATTAACATTAATAATTTAATGTAGGTAAAAACCAATTCAATATATCTAAGTTGAAATAAATTTAATAAAACATAAAGCAATAATTCTTAAATATGAAACATCAGTTTTACAATAATTAAATATTTGGTTGATAATATACAAGTTGATTTCTATTGACAACATGAAGACTAGCCATGTTTGGTGAAGATGTTATGGATGATGGTAAGGATAAATATTCATTCACATGATAATCTTCGTCATGCTCTATTTAATTCTTTTTTTTTAATTAGAGGGGCAGGCACTAACAACCTGAGTTATGATAGAGTTAAAACTGTTAGAATTGAGTCATAATAAATTAAAGTTTAAAAATTGAGTTATAACTAAATCAAAACTATAGAAATCAAGTGATTAATTTTCCCATATTATTACATTTATTTTGATTTATTTAAAAAATATAATAGTGATGATTTAATACAAATAAAATTATTTAATATAAATATAATAAATGTTTGAAACACATAGATAAAATTATTTAACAAAATGAATGCTAGAGATATATATTTGGATGTGAGAAAGACACCACAAATCACACAGTACCATTTACCATGAGTCTCGTAATGCAAGGGGTATATTTGGTAGTTTTGAAATTTTGGCAAACATTGAATATTTGAATAGGCATAATTGATATTGAAAAGCTAGGAGATCAGCTTAAGCCCTAATGCAGTTTAAGGTGAGATAATCAATTGTGGGAAAATAGGAGTGTTTGGATAATTTTGATGAAAAAGGGGATTTCCATACTGACGATCAATTATAATGACATATCCAAACAGGCAGTTTGTTCTGCATGTCATCTGTTCCCTGTGTGGTTGTCAACCCTTGTGTCACGCTGTTGCACCGTTTCTTGCTTGGTTTTAAATTTTTCATTTTAATTTGGCTTTGAAATTGGTCATGCAATCAATTGTTTGAGCATTGATGCTTTTGATAACAACAACAACAATAGGCCTTATCTCGCATGCTGTTGGTATTAATGGTTTTGAATCTGGGAATATTTACAGATCAAGTTTAATTTCTTAACTTTGATTACTAGTTTTTGCTTGAATGGTGTCTAATGGGCTATTATACTTCTGCTCTCTTCATTTTGATTTCTAGCAACTTATAAGCTTTGTATCGTGTTGTTTTACAATGTTGGATTTGTATTGTGTAGTGGCATTTTGCTTATTAATCTCTTTATATTATCATCAATTTATAAAATTCTCAAGGTATTTGTGATGCATAATTCGGTAAATGACTTGGCTCAATTTGTGTCTGAAAATTTAGAAGCTTGAGATAAATCATTTCCTGCTGCTTATTGGTCCGTGAATTTAGAAGCTATTGACAAAAACAATCAATTGTGCTCCTTACTCTAGGCAGTAGTTTTCATGATCATAAATTGCAAGAGGAAATTGGGAGATCATAAACTGCAGGAGTGTTATTATTTCATTATTCAGTGGCTTGGAGGAGATTCCTGGATCAATTGGCTTGCTAAGGCATCTTTGTTAAAGTATTTGGAACAAAAAAAATTAAAAGGGTATGATATCAACTATGCAAAATTCAAAGATTTCAGTGGGGGCATGTAATATAGGTCTGTCTATGATATGATAGTTCTTTCATTGGGGGAAATTTGTGGGTAAATGTTAATTGTTGTTTATCAATTTTTATGGATAGTATCTACCATGGGTTTATTGAGTATTTTGAATATTGGAAAGTTTTGGATAAGGATGTTAGATGGGCAATTTTTCTGGGATTTGATTAGGGGTTGGTAGATGTTTCCTTCAAATTTTGGTAATGTCAAAAATTGGATATGCCCCCGTTGCTATTACTACTTTACTCTCTTTATGTTGTTAGATCATGATGGTTTCTCTGTCTCTCTCTCTCTTGTGGAGTCTATCATCTGTGGAGTAAACTAAGGGGAGAATGACATTTAAGGCCTTCTCAAGGAAATTTATTACAATATGGGTGCATTGGATATTGTCTTGTGAAAATACGTATATGTTGTTAAAAGTTGAACTTTAACTTGTATTTTTTGTTAGGATTTCCTTAGAAATTTAACAAGCTAAGGTTCAGCTTTTAACAACAATATATACGTGTTTTCATAAGAAAATATTCAAAGCAAAACTTATGTGCCCTTGTTGGGATAAATTCTCTTGAGAGGGCTTTAAATATCATTCTCCCTAAACTAAATTCTATGTTTGGGTTATTTGACACTGCATATATTTAAGTTGAACAAAATGATCAAATCGTTTGCAGTTATATTCATTAATGATTCCATTTCAGTTCAACTGCTTCATTTATGATCCAAGATAACGGTGACTTGGAATTGTTATGGATCCATCTATAGTTAAGCTTCTTGAAGATGATGAGGTTTTCTCTCTTTTCTTTACCTTATTTGCAGAAAAAACCGTGTTCGTATAGGGTTCTCTATTTCTAATTCTACCACTGTTTTTGGACGTGCAGGATGAAACGATGCATTCAGGGGCAGACGTGGAAGCCTTCCAGGCCGCCTTAAATAGAGACATAGGAGGAGACATGTCTACTTCTCAGCCTTCTGGTTCAGACACAGGCATGCATCACTTTGATTCATTATATTTCTGAATTTCACCTCCAGTAACTTTTGTTTAAAGCATTTGATGGTTTTTTATTTAATTTTATTTCGGTAATGTTATTAGTCAGTTTTGTCTGTGAGCCTGCTATATGTAATGTAGATAATAGAAATGGAAAAGTCCAAACATGATGATTGATTTTGAAACATCAAGGTATCTTTGTTTTTAATAGCAAGCTCAATGAAGCATGGCTTGATTTTTCTGGAAATGAAATTTGATCAATATAATTTTGGCAGGTCTTGGAAGTGCCTTATCAGTATTTGAATTTTTTTATTAATGCTGATATTTCTTTTTATAATAAACCAATAAGGGTGTTTTTTTTTTTTTTGCTTTCATTATTTTCATCCTATTGTTTATCTTTTCTTGCACCTGTTCGTACTGTGAGACTTCAGATTCCTCGTGTTTTTGATAAATCTTTGCTCAAAGTTTATTTTCTTCCTAACATTCTTTCCTTGAAATTATTTATTTCACAATTTTCTTTCCATCCGTCCTTTTCAGTCTGGAAGGGAGACTTTTATTGACTCATGAATGCTAATATATTCTGGAGTCTAGTTTGAATGTACCGGAAGAATTGTAGGAATCAAGGACAAGTATCTTCTGAAAATTTATCAGCTCTATTTGCTGTTAATTTACATGATTTTTATACTTTCTTGGTAAATTCTTAATCTCACATCTCATATGCTACTACAATTGCTACAGTTTTGTCTCAAGGAAACAGCACCACATACAGTCAGTCATTACCACAGTGGCCAGCTTCTAGCCATGATAATAAAACTGATCCTCAAACTCAACAAGATCCTAACATTGCTCAGCAGCAGCAACAATCTTCGTCTGAGATGGAGATCAAACACAGTGGCCAACTGCAGAATGTTGCTCCTCAGGATGTTAATCATCCACCCCCCTCTCAGAAGCAATCTCAAGATGAAGGTCACCAAGGGCAGACTGTACACGGCTCCCTCCAAAACCCTCAAACGAGTGGGATCCCAAATCCTGGGAAAGATCCAGTTATTAAGAATGAGCCTGTCAAAACGCATAATCAGAGCAATGAATCTCAATATATCAAGTTGCAGCAGATGAGTAATCAACAGGCGACAGTCACTGAGCAGCCAAGTGGCCAAATAAATCGTAGTAAACAAGTGCCATTTGGCCTATTGCTGCCAATCTTGCTTCCGCAGCTTCCCAAAGACAGAGCCATGCAACTCCAAACTTTGTTTGCCAAATTAAAGGTGTGTATTTTAATTCAATCAAAACAATGTCTTCCCTCCACCTGCTTTTGTTTTATTTTATTTTTTTATGGTATGGGCCATGTCTGATTTATGCATGGCTTTTCGATGTTGCTGACTTTGCAGTTTCTGCTGTTTTTATAGAAAGATGAAATTCCAAAGGATAATTTTGTGAGGCTTATGAAAAGTATTGTAGGCGATCAGATGCTCAGAATGGCATTAGCAAAAGTGCAATCACAGGTATGTGGAGCATAGTGTATGTTGTACCTTATTTGATATTTTTTTAAGCCAATGGGCATTCATTTGAGGTCATGCTTATAACCTTTCTTTTCTACTGTTTTAGACGAGATCCAACCAAGGACCCATTGGGCAGCAGCACCCTATGAGGATGCCTGCTGTTAGTTCGGGGGCAACACAGTTCAGTGATCCCCATGGATTAGCACAATTGCATCACAGAAGTGTGAACCCTCCTTCAAACCAATCTCATATTAATTCTTCAACTGTACATGTGAAGAATGAACCAGTTTATCCAACTATGGATAATAGTGTCAAAAAATCTCAGGAATTGGATGTTAAAATAGAATCCCAAGCAGTGCAACCGAGTCAGATATCATCTTCCAGTTCCAACTTTGCTAGCCAAGAATCAGAAAGGTCCTCCTTGCACATACAAGGGCTTACTAAGCAGCAGCAGCAGCATCTGCATTTTTCATCAGCACATGGAAGTAGTGGTACCAATTATAATCTTTATTCTGGCACAAGCAGTAGTTCTACATCTCTCAAAGCGCCACTGCATGATTCCCATTTGAGGCAAATTCCTCATCAAAACATTGCTCAAAATCACCTGGGGGGGCCCACACAGGGTATGAATCTGATTGGCATGACAAAACTTGATAGACAGAATTCCATCAATGATCCAAAGAGACTGCAGGGAGTGTCTGCTCCTCCTGTTGTAAGTAGTGCAGGATCACAACAAACACCCAATGCTTGGCAACCTTCGAATGTTAAAAAGGAACCTACTGACCTGTCTGCTGAGCAGCAACAGAGACATCATTTATCTAAATTGCATGGAATTTCTTCTGTTGGCACTGGTCAGATTGAACAGGGAAATGGCAATCAGGGAACTTCAAAGGATGAGTTTTCAAGAGGTCTTCCAGCATCTACAAATATGCCGCCTACAACTACTTCTAGCTTGTTGCATTCCAATTCTGGTACCCCTTCAATGATTGCTCAACAGGAACCAAGTGTCCCGGTAATCTTATTGGCATTACTTGTGTCTTTATGGCTTATTGCATAATGCATTCTACGTACTGATGCATGGATTTTTGTTTCTCTAAGATGACAAAATTTTTGGGTTAGATGTTTCTATCAGACTTTTGCCTGCATACATTTGCATATTGTGTGTCGCTGATAATGTTGTCCTAAAAATAGCTAAGATATGGATTTGCATCGCTTTTCATTGTATTTTAGTTGAGGTATGAAAATTGAATGTGAAGATATGAATACTCACGGGGATTAAGGTGTTACTCATAGAAATGATGTTTTCTAAACTGTTTCAATGTTTCTAACTCTGGTTCTCAACGATCTTATTTACTTGAATACCTTCATTCTTCTTTTTGCTTGATTTACTTCCAGTTTCCGTTAGCCTGGTATAATCAATCTTGCTGATGCTATATCAGCCCCAAATGTCCATCACCTTGACTCATAATACACCTATTGCTATTAGTTGCATAATAGCTTGTGACTTAATGTCGGATGTTAAACTTAAGTTTTATACTCATTAACCAAGAAACTTTACTCTGGCCTTTTCAATACTGGTTCTCCTACTTTATAAATTTTATTGGTTAGGAAAAATCAAACTTCTGCATGTAATCTGTCCTTTGTTGTAATGTTGTTGTTGGCAATGGATGTTTTTTTATTGACGTCAGTTAATGGAGTAGCTGTGTGTTTTTGACTTAAAAGATTTATTACAGGTTGCTAGAGTAACAATGCATACAATCGCGTTTCTTTTCATGTGTCCTTAGGTTTCCGCTTTTTCAAGCATCACTATCTTAGAATCCAATATTCCTTACTAAGGGAAATGTCATCCTGTGCACGGGAGCTTGCCTCGTAGTATAATCTCTATGCTTAATGATGCCTATTTCCTCATTCGATTTTGTATTTTGTCAGCTAAGCTCTCAGATCCCCACAAACCCTTCAGGGATTATTGCAAGGGCGCCTCTGAAAAAGCCCTCTCTTGGCCAAAAGAAACCACTGGAGGGACTTGGTTCGTCACCACCTCCTCCAAGGTCTTTTTTCTTATTCTAATGAATCATGATTGATTGTTTATCTAACTCCTTTTTAATCTCTATAATCTGCCTATTATCCTACAGTAAGAAACAGAAAGCATCTGGGGCTTCTATGGAACAAAGCATTGAACAGCTTAATGATGTTACTGCTGTTAGTGGAGTTGATCTTAGGGTATCGTACTTTGCCATTGATCCTGGGCAAATAATTCTAGATTAGGGATTGTTTTTCTTCTATAATCAAAGCCCACTTGGTTCTATATTTTTTCTATTTTGTAGGAGGAGGAAGAACAGTTATTTTCAGGGCCAAAAGAGGACAGCCGAATTTCAGAAGCATCTCGAAGAGTCGTGCAAGAAGAAGAAGAAAGACTGATTTTGCAGAAAGCACCACTGCAGAACAAATTGATGGATATTAGTTAGTCTTCTTTTTATTGTTTAATGCTGCCCATATGTTTAAGATTCTTTGTATGCTTTAAACTTATCTGGATCTATACATAGCCTTATACTTCATTTTGCTCTCACTCTGGCAGTGGTCAAATGTGGTTTGAAGGGTATGAGCAATGATGTAGAGAAATGCTTGTCTCTGGTGAGATACGAGCAGATTTTCAATTAACGTTGTGGTAGTTTTGCATGTAAACTCATGGCTGAAAGTAAATGTTCAGTGCGTGGAGGAAAGAATGCGTGGATTAATAAGTAGCCTGATCAGACTCTCAAAACAGGTCAGTTGTCTCAACTGTTTGCATGAACGGTCTTTCATCAATGCAAGCAGTTTCTTATGCCCCCAGTCAATTTCCTACCAGCGAGTGGATTTTGAGAAGACCAGACACCGGGTTGTTGTCACATCAGACGTTCGGCAACAAATCATGGCAATTAATAAGAGAGCAAGGGAAGAGTGGGAGAAGAAACAGACAGAAGCAGAGAAGACTCGTAAACTTAATGAAGTGAGTTCCACCCGTGGAAGATATTTTTGTCTATCTTCAAGAGTTTTTTGAAGAAGGTTTATACGTACATGAAGCTGCATCCATGAAATTTTCCCATAACATGCGGTTGTTTTGAATATCTGCTTCTGAAACATGTTTTCTTATCATTTAAACCGTGAATTATACAGGCTGAGAGTAATCCTGGGCTTGATTGTGACAAGGATAAGGATGAAGGTCGTAATAAATCAACAAAGGTATTCATCCCTCTTTCTTGTGTATTTTATTATTCCACAGTCCATGTTAGAAATCTTTTATTTAATTTATGGCATCATGTAGGTAAATAAGGAAGAGGATGACAAAATGAGGACAAATGCTGCAAATGTTGCTGCTCGAGCTGCTGTTGGGGGAGATGACATGCTGTCAAAATGGCAACTCATGGCGGAGCAAGCCCGTCAAAAACGTGAAGGAGTGGTAGATGCATCATCTAGTTCTCAACCTGCTAAAGATGCGAGTCGCAAGTCTGCATCTTCATCTGGAAGAAGTACCAAGGATAATTCGGATGGGGAGAAAAAGACTTTCAACGTCTTTTGGGACTTCTGGTAGGTTCCGTTCAAACTGATTATTCATTCATGCGTGCCACGTACTGTATTTTCTAGTCAAATGACAAAGTGATGCTAAGATATCGACATGTGAAAGGTGGTTCTAATCTCTCCAATAAAATTGGTCTCTCCTTTTCATTGTAGCGCTGTGTTAGCTTAATATAAGCATTTGCAGATGCTGCCTGACCTAGATTTCGTGCTATTTCTGAATTGTTGTTCTACTTCCTTGAATGTTACTGTTCCAACAGGAACTGCTCGAAAACTTGGGAGAAATCAAGGCATTGCACATCAAACTCGAGTAGCTCGTAGCATCTCTGTTAAGGATGTGATTGCAGCTCTGGAAAGGGAACCCCAGATGTCCAAGTCACCACTAATATATAGCTTGTACGAGAGAATTCATTCCGATGCACTGGCTGAATAAGATAAAAGATGGTTTTGAAGATTTTGGCCTCGTTAATCTGAATAAGCTCTAGAATTGAAGGTCTGCTCTAGTTTGGCTGATTTCAGCTATTCGGCTGGCCTGCTACTGGTTAAATTTTTGGTCTACTGAAGCTACTGTCAACTCCGATGTAGGAAATTAATCCAATTGAAGTTCAAAAAGTTAGCCTAATTTTGTATATGCTTGTCAATATTTTTTTTGGGCCAAAATGTACACTTGTCAATATGACATACGGTTCTTTTTATTATTTTTCTGTTTTCAACCATGATATGCTTCGATTTAATGTAAGATGAAATGCAGAGATGGCCTTCTAAACGTTGGCCATAATATAACTATAGGAATTGAACGTTTGTTTGTTTGGTTTTTTTTTTTTAATAGTGAAACAATCAATTGGTAGGTTTTTTTTTTTTTAAATAATCAGAATGTAAAAGTATTCATATTCTGATTATTTTGAAATATGTAAATTAACAAACTTGTGTCATGATTATAACCAAATACACCAATTTCTTATTTTCATGAAATTTTTAAATAACATCTCTTTTAAAAAATCTACAAATAATTTGAAAATTACTTATTTTTCAAACTTAATGAACCATAATTACTAATAAGCAAGGCCTTTTTCTTTGGGGACCGGGTGATCGTCGAAGAACTCATCTACTTTAAGCCAGTTTCTGCATTTCTTTTTAGGCATCTGTAATTTAACCACATCATTTTTGGATTATTAAACTCAGCTCAACAAGCTATATACCTTCGCGCGTAACCAGAATTTAAAAACAAAGGGAAAGAAATCTAAGTCGCTACTGCCTTAAAAGAAAAATGCATCTCAGCTATTCATGGTGAGCTGAAAGCCTGAAAGTTATAAAGGGAAGTGCTTATATACATAGCTTCACATTCAGTATCTCAGAAGTGCTTTTTAAGAGCGCAAAAGATGAAAAGAGATTGGGAAATTACAAGTCATCAAGGTAACCAATTCAGGTCTAGAAGCATGCTCAGGGTCATGGGATTTGTATACAAGGAAAGATGTTACGAGTAGCTATTCGATCATCATATACTATGGTGTTAAAGTTTTCTTTCCGTGAAAATCTGGACAAACGGATGTACTTCTCCTTCCTAGGTCATACATACTAAGTCGCCAAATTTTACATGAATGTTAAACCTGAAGCATGAGAGAGAATGCCGACAGCAGACATCATTAAATTCTATGCTCACACCTTTATTCAGTCACCTCTAAACTCTAGAGCAAATTTCCAAGTATTTGGGCTCAATAATTCAATGATCTTACAGTTAACCGGCAACCAGGATTACACTCAATTGTCCATACAAACCATTCATATCTGAAATAAGTCGCGAGTCGTCACCATCTTTGTTTTGTCTCTTACTATGTCAATTTCTTGAAGCCAAACTGCATGACTAGTCTTTCAACAGTACCTTGGCTCAGAACGTCTTTCAAATGCAACTCCTTCAAAAGCTTGGCAGCAATATCCATTTCTCCTTCAAAAGCAAGCCCTTCAATAAGAATGGTATATGTTGTCTCATTAGGCATGCATTCTTTACGTATCATCCTCTGAAACATCTCCATAGACAAGTCTGTTCTTCGAGACTTGCAGAGACCAAGTATAAGTGCATTATAGTTATCAGTATCAGGCCTGTGCTCATTTTCTTCCAAAACTTTGAATATCTCAATGGCCTCATCCAACATGCCCTCTCTACACATTCCTCTAATCAAAGATGAATAAGTATAAGAATCTGGAGTAAATCCATACTTCGTCATTTCATATAGTAGCTGAAAAGCTGGATACGTGTTCCCTTTCCTGCACAAACTTGAAATGACATTTTGGTAGAAATCATGCATGGGGGAGTTATGCTTGTTACCCAAGCTTTGGATTATGAAGAATGAATCTTGTACCTTCCCCACCTCACAAAGCATACCAATAGCATTGTATGTCCCTTCATTAGGATTACAATGCCGAAGCATCATTTGTTCCAGACACTGAACTACAAGATCCACCTTCCCTTCATTGCAGAGACGGGCAATAATCGGATTATAGCTGGCTGCAGTTGCCTTGAATCCACTCCTTGCCATTTCATCTAAAACCTTGAAAGCATGTTCAGTTTTTCCATGGAGGGAAAGAGAAGTAATTAATATGTTATAGGTAACTACAGAAGGAGACTGATTTTTTCCATGCATCTCGGCTAAAAGCTCATTTGCCTCCTCCCACCTCCCTTCATAGCACAAACTCCTCAGCAAAATGTTGTAGCTCACAACACTAGGATCAAACCCCTTTGCTGGCAATTCCCTGAAAAGCTTAATAGCTTCTTCAGTCTGACCTTCCTTGCATAAACCTGTTAACAGAACATTGTAACTCACTATATTGGGCTTCCCACCCTTGGCAATTATTTCATCTAGAAGTTTCACGGCTTCATCGGATCCCCTCTCCTTGTAAGCAGCTTCAAGTAAAAAGAATAAGTGAATGCATTGGGACCAAACCCTTCTTGGTCAATCGATCTAAAAGTTGCAAGCTTTGATTTAAACCCCCATGCATGCACAGCCCTTTAACTAGAGTGTTATAGGTAACAGTATTAGTAAGAAAACCACGTTCCTCCATTCTTTCAACTAATTGCATTGCATACCCAACATTACCCCTCTTGCATAGATAATTGACCAAGTATGTGAAGGAAGCTGCGTCAGGTATAATGCCTGACCCTACCATCATCTCCATTACCCTGACAGATTTCCTCATTTTGTTAGCCTTGCAAAGATCATACAAAAGCTGAGTTGCTTGAGTTACGTCAGGCTTATGGCCTTTGCCTACCATATGCTCTAGATGAAGGAATGCATTATTAACTCTAAGCTCCTTACTTTTTGGGTCGCTCTTCCCAATCCTCCAATCAGGCAGAGTAAAAACATTACCTTTAGGAGAAATAGCTATCTGGCTATATGACAAAACCCTCGAAAAACCCTTGTTAAGTGAAAGGGTATGAATGTTTGGAATCTGAGAGTGAAAGCTAGAACAATTCCTTTTTGTTTTTGGTGACAGATTTGCGGCTGGAGATACGGTATTCAGCAGTGCTGCCATAGCTGAATCCTAGCTGACATTCGTATGTAAAACAATCATCAAAATTTAGGTTGGGCTTCAAGAACGGAGAAAGTATTGACTAAAAAAAAACAAAATGAAGATTGAAGAGACAGAACAAATGTTGAGTGGCTCAACAGTTGAGGTTAAAGAAGAGAGAGAGATACCGGCGAGCATTTATCAATTGCTCGGCCTTCTGTGATAATCGCCTATGTCCCAACCACGACTGCCTCCTTAGTTATCCGGAACGGTTAATGCCAAATGCCAATGGTCATAATCTTCGTTTCCATTACATTTAGTCATTGACAATTTTATATTGCATCGTAAATAATGCGATTTTATTTTATATATTTCTCTCATGATTAATGTTAAAAGATTTTTTTTGGTGTCTTTTTTTGGCAAAGACAGCCTTGGTTGAATTAAAATTGAGTAGTAAATATGAGTCCCTCATTTTACAAGAATTTGAATTTGAATTTACTATATCATTAAAAGCTAGTTTTTTTTTTTTTTGCTATATCCAATTCCATCAGTTAAAAAAAGCGCTTTTTTACCGATAAAGTTAAAAGGGTTAATTATTTTACTCATTTGTATTGTTATATTAAAAATAAAATAATAATGACATTGTGAGCTTTTAATTAATTTAATCAAAATGAAAACTTTTTCCAATACATATCGAAATATTGGAAGATCTGGGGCATATCATGACATGTTTCTTTATTTAAAAATGCTTACAAAAATATTTATAGATCACCACCCAACAAAATTTTTATATCACCAGCGTGATTGAAATGTGTATTCTCATTTAACAAGAGAATGTAATCATCATCAACATATCCCCTAGAGAGTACCAGCCGAGTTTCATTTCGAATGAGCTTCAAGCTCAATACGCTATAGCCGCAGTGAAGAGTAACCGACTCATGCTAATGCGCGGCTTTCAATCTGCTTCATGTTGACACACAATGGAGAAGCAAAAAGTGAAGATCTGGAGCAGCTAGGCATGCTTGGCTAGAAAGAGACGGTGTATCAGAGCTTAAAGCTGGAGCGTTTAAAACAATGGCTCGCTGATAGCTTTTTTTATTTTTTATGCAAGCCTCTTCCCCCCCCCCCCCTCCAATTTCATTGTTTCCTCCCATTTTTTATCATTTGAATTGAACTTTCCCATATCATTGCCATGTTCCCCCTTGTGCATGAGTGGTGTAAATACTTTCCTTCATGGGTGATGCAGAAACTGAAGATGATTAAGCCCCTACAAGCAGTTTAGATGATGTTCTTTTATGGAGAACCTCCTTCCAATGGTTCCCCCCACCCCCCGGGGGGTATGAGAAGCTTACAAACTAGTGTTTGAACACGTTATAATCAGCAACATGATCAGTTGCGGGGAGGATCTGGAAATACCTTTACCAGAAAAAATATTTTCTTTTTCTAGTGACAAGCTTCTCATGAGAAACTTCTTACAAACATCGTAAGAATCAAGAGATGTCTTACTCAGATATGGAGTACCCCTATGAGCCCAATATGAGGCAACAATTATACACATTTTGAGAGATTGCATGAGATCAAAGGAGATATGGAAGTTCTTAAATCCTGACAATTATTCTAGTTTTTCTGTGGTGATGTGCAGGAATGGCTAAGCATAGACATGAAGAAATTTTTTTGGACATGAATTCAAAAGCTGGCACTGGATTAAGTTCTTGGGACACAAGAACGATTTCTTTGAATTGCTTTCCTTTTTTTTTTATCTTTTAATCTTGTTATAGTTCTAATTTTCTTCTTCCAATTAGATTCTTTATATTGAATTTGATTGGGCGTTAAACACTTTATTTTTTCTTTCTTTTCTGTATTATTTGTTTCTATTATGTATACTTGATTTACTTCAAAATAAAACAAACAAATGATTGACGATAAGCAACCTATAGTATTAGTTACATTAATGGACAAAACGGATATTCTAAAGTAAGGTTGTCTCAGAAAAATTGTCCAAGTCTGGTAAGTAGAAGATGATCTCAAGTCAAGACCCGCATGAGAAAGTCACTATCTCCAAGCCGAAGGAGAAACAATGCTTTGCACACTATTGTGATTGTGCCAGCTTGCTCTTACACATCATTTTACAACTTCCTTTCTCTCACATGATCGAATAACCCTCCATACTCGAGACTCACACCTTTCCACCGAGAAGTTACAAACAACTGGTAAGGTAGGTAGTTTAGTGGATAACAGGCTTTAAGGGCTGAGCCCTGAGCTTCGACAAATCCAGCCTCGAATCAAGATCTTCGTCTAATTCACCTACAACACTAC